TCTCTCCTTTGTGTTAGCATCTCATCAATATGTAAATACACGAAAGTTTCCATAGAGAGTATGTTACCGTCTATTTTTTTCAAGAGCGAAAAAAATTTTTAGGAATAAAACCGAGAACATGTCAAAGACGATGTATTTAGCGTTAAAAATATATGTATCACATCTGAAAGCACTAAATATATATAATAGAATTTTTATAGATTGTTCTATTATTATATTTGAGTATCTCTGTGTTAAATTTGAGCACAATTCTCTTATTGGTTGATTTAATTTTTTGCCTTTTTGTATTTGTCTTCATTTTTATGTAAATCGCGTATAGTACTTATTTACAAATTTGATAAGGTAATATAACGAATTAAAATTTCATCAAAATTTTTTGAATATATTAATAAAATTTTAATAAATATTTGTGCAAAAGTTTATTTGAATCCATTTACTTGTTTAAAAGATATTTACCTAAAACTTTAATAAAATATAGTCATTTTTTGCTGCATAATGTCATTGGTTCAACAGAAAAAGCAGCTTTGCAACTGTTGTAAAATTCTTTAACATGATTGGTTTATATATTTAAATCCAATAAGAAATTAAAAGCAAGACCAATATTAAAGAATTTTACAACAATTGCAAAGCTGCTTTTTCTGCTGAGCACAACCATCAAAGCCTATTTATTTATTAATTTTATTTTTTGCAGTTTCAAGACGTATCAAGATTTTTTTATATTAGCTGATATTGACTTTTTTAGCTAATTTTTTGGCTGATATTTTGAACTGATATTGTACAGCCAAAACATTCTTGAGCTATTAATATTAGCTATGCTGATGCCACAATTTTGGCATCCTCGGTACGGACCTCTTCCATCTTGTATGTCTGCGCATAGCTTTGCTGTGAGGAATGGAATCAAAGGCAGCGATGAGTTCGTACAAGTGGCCAACATCGTCCGTATCAAAAGGCATCGGCTTCCCTTTCACCAGCCAGCGTACAAAACCAACGGCCGCCACGCCGCACCGTCGACGATGTGAGAGAGGCTGCCGGGCGGTCGTCGCGTAATCAATCAGTATCGTGGGAGCACTAAAGCCCGTGCTGATGCTCTCGCATGGCTCCGCAAAAAACTATAAGCGCCTATCATCGCGCGCGATTTACGAATATTCGTTAATGCCGTCTCCAGAGTCGGCAAATCCTTCACAATATTTCTCCTGTATGAAGAAATCCTCCCTATTGTGTTACCAATCTCCTGTAGTATTTCATTTTTTAATATTTTCGTGCTTTTGTACAATAAAAGCGTGACTGACGTAACTTTCGACGTATTCTTTGTGCCGTACCGCAGTCCAACAAAATATTAATATACTTATAAGAAATAAATACAATAAAAGGGCATATAAGAGTCGATTATAAAATTATATTATATATTAAAAAACTGAAATATTACAAAATAATAGTGCTTTTTATTCCGTCTTTAACAGAAAAATTTAATCAACTCAATAGGAATAATATTAAAGTCTCATTTTATAGTTTGAACAAACTACAGAAATACATCAAAGTACGTAAAGACTTTCGTCCTCGTCCTTCTAAAAATAATGTAGTATATAAGATTAATTGTAATAATTGTGCTGCATCGTTTGTAGGACAGACTGGTAGACAGCTAAAAACACGAATCGCAAAGCATCGAAATTATATACGCTGGAATACATCTTCTCGTTCATCAATTATAATCGAGCATAGATTAAATCGTGAATGTGATTTTGGAATAATATTGAAATTCTTGACGAGGAACCATGTTATAGTAAGCGGTTAAAGTCTGATGCTTCATATTAAAAAACAAAAAAATAGCCTTGATCTTCAAACTGATTGAGGACTTACATAAAGCATACATTCCGATTAACAAGGTCTAACTTTGCGTTATCAAGATCACACTAGTTTAATTATTTTCGTGTTAGTCAGTGTTTGTCCGTTGCAACCATTATACATTTTTAATATTATTCTGAACTGATTCTACATCTTCATATTTTATTTAACGTTTATTTATTGAAGAATTCAATTATACATAATTTATGACTCTGTGGATTTTACTTTCTAACTACGGCTATATATTATTTATTATCACACTGACTAATGAAATGTTGACGAGTATCGTATCACCGAATTGTATTAATATTTTTGACATATTGATGAGTGTTCTACCGAGGTGACGTATTTGCTTGCTTTTTATTTATTGATAATTAATGAAATTTATAATTTTATTAGAACGTCATGAAATTCTTTTCAATTGGCCTTCCAACTTTTTCGTGAACAATTTCCGTTCCTCTGTGCAACGTTCAATTGTTCTCACGACATGCGTTTTATGATGTATTTCTTTTCTGTCAACACTGTTAAATTATGGTAACATCTTTATATTTAGTAAATGAAGAGGGTCTAATTTAAAGACTGAAACATGTTATAGCGTAATTCAATTATAATTGATTAGAATATTGTATATTATTTTGTAATATTTGTATTTCGGTTTTTTAATATATTATATAATATAATTTTAATTAACTTTTATATGCTCTTTTATTGTATTTATTTCTTATTAATATCAAGTGTTCCTTTTTTATTATTGTTAATATTAATATATTTGTTATTAATATTAATATACTTGCTATTTCATATACTGCTTTTTGCACTTATTTAGGAACACCTGAAAACACTTTAAACTTTTTTGCAGCTGCTTTCTGCGACACTTTTGGTCCTTTTGAGTGCGTGCAATAGCAAAAAAAAAAAATAGTTTCGAATTTTTTAACGATTCCCAAGTTTACAGTGATTCCCAGTCACTGACGATAATAAATCAATATCCGTTTCTACCAACATAGATTAACTTTGATCTCTTCAACTTACTGTTCATATCTTTTTCTTATTTTTAGAATTAGAAAAAAAAATGAAGAATTAGTTGAACCGAGATTAAAATTAAATTATATTGATAGAAACAGGTATATAGGAATTAAAGGTCGCAGCACAGACTTTTACATAAGGCTATAAGGCATAAAAGAATAAAAACCAATCAGAATATGAAATAAAGGATTCTGATTGGTTGATTCTCTTACTCCTTATGTATTATACAGTATTATGCAAAAATCTGTGCTGCAGCCTTAATCCTATTTTCAGTCAAAGCGGATCTTAGTACTTAAATATTTCAATATAAATTTATATACGTGTCCAATTCTGCAAATCACGAGATTTTTTTCAGCCTTGAAACACGATCATGAACAAACTAGAGTAATAATATCATACATTATATTAACAATTGGTGCGCGGTTTGCAGAATTGGATACACAATACATGTATATAAATTCACACTGAAATATTTAAATACTATGAATCGTTTTGACCGAAATAGAATAATTATTTCTCTTATAATTGATTTATTCAGATTCATTCGCGCTCTTATTAGACTGATTATACATCCAGGGAGAAGTTATTTTTCCATTAACGCTAACTTAAACAATAATAGCAAATTCGGTAACTTGCACTACGCTAGATCAGTGCATATTAAAAGTTGCTATACATGAAATTAGCAAAGTTAAATGTAAAAATATATAAATATTAACACGCCAAAAAATATTTTGCTGTCCAGCTAGAATTATCGCTTTTTTTGTATCTGATAAAAAATTATGTGTCACGCATATATTAGGTGTTGGAATTAATTCGTAGCGTTTTTAATGAAAGAATGTTATTTATTTCACATGAGCATTAAAAAATACATTAATGAAAGTACTTCCCATCACTTGTAAAACGCTACGAATTAATTCCAACACCTAATAATTTATAGCACAAATCTAAATTCTATCTCTGTAATTAGATGCATTACATATTCAATATCGCAGTACTTGCTAAAAATTTATCTATTTTAGCTATTTTTAGCTATAATTTAAATAATTTTCGTTATAATTGCAAGATTTTTTGAGTAAATTATCTACTAATGATATTATCACGTTATTTAACAAAATATACATCATTTCATTGACAAAATTCGTTATATTGTATCATTGCATTGAGATATTTTATATAAACCAACTTTTAATATGCACTGATCCAGTGTAGTGCGAGTAATCGAATTCACCATAAGATTGCGCTAAGATTGGAAAAATCATTTTGAAAAATAATTTGTCACTATTATGCGTTACTGAAAAAAATAACGTTACTTATTATATGTAACGAATAAAAAATAATGTGTTATAAATTAGAAGTTATTTTTTTCAGGTACGAAAAAATGATTTTTTCAACCTGTTACAAGTAATATTTCCAACTTTGGCGTTATCATTACTGTCATAAAAAATTCGCAACGTTATTACCAAATCGTTATTATAACAAGGTAACGATCAATAAAGTAATGGCGCTGCAAATAACGCATTATTTTCCATCTCTGGATTGTACTATAAAATTAGTGGAAAGTATCAAAGATGTCAATAATAATCAATAATGGCGATATTGAACGATTTATTAATAAAAAAGTGTGTAAAACTGATTGTAATAATATATATGTAATCCTTTCATTTTTAAATAAAGTTCAAAAATTATATCAATCACGCTCATATTGAGCAGACTAAACATTGCAGATTTTACGCATCTTTTAAAACATTTTTAACAATTTTATACTTCATACGATTATACTATTATAAATATTAAATAATAGTTCAAGATAAGTTATAACAATAATAAGATTTCGTTTTCGATATGAATGCAGAAAACTGAAACGAGTGAAGCAACATGTTGCACGGAAATCGGAATCGTTTTCTCCGTCTGATATCATCATAGTTTTCAGAAGTTACTACTGCTAAGGTTGCTCTCTCGGCAACCTAACGCTAACTGCAACACAGTACGCCTACACACTCTCGTCATACAACGTAACGCAATGCAAGCCGGTTACGCCACTGACGAGTGCATTGTACGTGCAGCCGTGGTGAGTAA